GTTACTTTTTCCAACTACTTAATAATTGGGCCAAACAGACCTTCTCCTCATTTTATATCGGAAGATGATCAGACAGTGAAGGAGAGATTAGGCTGCCTAGTCATCCAGCAGATCCATTGCTTGAAATGCCCAAACCACCCCTTCGACCATTTGACAACAAATAAAAATGGAAATGCATGATTAGGGATGATATATATATATTTATAAAAAAAAATTAACAGCAAATAGTTAATATAATTAAAATAAAAAGGTACAAAAAAATACTTGAACCCTTTTACATTAGATATATGAAACAATTAATAAAGAAAAGATTAAATTACAATAGTCTCTATAAAGTAAAGTCCAGCTAACTAAGAAGAAGCAAAATACACCTCCACCTTTCTTTTTGTAAAATTATACTTATCGAGAATATGAGGCATCACTACTAGATTTTAATCATTTAGCAACATTTTCTTGTTTACATTTATTAAAATGTTACTGTATATTATATAAATATGTTATTTTGTAACATTTTTTTTTAAAAATGTCATTATAGATAGAGTAACATTTTGTATTTCAATAATATTCTTTCCAATTGTTTTCAAAATCAAAGTCTCATATTGAGTAAAAAAAATTTACATAAGTTATTTTGCAACATTTTTTTAAAAAATGTTACTATAATTGCTTCTAAAATCAGTCCCACATCGAGTAAAAAAAGTATATTTCTCTTATATCTAATTATAACTCATAATTAAAGTCTCACATCGAATAGATTAATGACTCATAAAGAGTATATATACTCATATAGTTATATTTAAGATAAATGAAATTTTATATTGTATATATAATTAATGGTGACTAACTAAAAATGTCTTTCTCTAAAATCTTAAAGAATTCCTAGAAATTTAGGAGACATAGAAATATAATAATTGATAGTAACATTTAAATTAAAATTAATTATTATTTTATAAGATTAACAAAATCTTGGCAACATCATTAAAATGTTACAAAAATACTATTTTGATAACATTTAAAAAATATTGCCTAATTATGCAAAAATGTTACTAAAAGTCTTTAGCAACATGAACTATATACAACATTTGATAATATGTTGCTAAAATAAATTAGCAATATTTATACATAATTAAGTAACATTTTTCAAATATTACTAAATATCATTTGTGTTGTAGTGCATTGGGAACACATGTCAAACCAACGTACAACTACTGCATCAATAAGGTGCCTAAAATCACGTAATATAGCATTTGGTTGCTCGTTTATTAGGACGTGAAACATTACATCCTCACAATTATGTGCCACCAGAGACAATATGTTATTCCATTTCCTACCATATAATAGTGCCTCGGATTACCACGTAGAGACGAAGACACTTCTGGTTCTGTCACCTACACCATGTGCTGAGATTTGTCATGGCTTGTTTGTATCCTCCTCCCATACCGAAGCAACCATATTACTTTTGAAGATATATTTGTAAATTAATAATATCTGCTGATAAATAATAAATAAGTATGGGACATAATTTTGTCCAGAGGCAGAGGATGGGGACTATTACCATTACGGCCCTCCTACCCATTATCATACATATGCTTGACATCTTTACCAAAAAATACATATGCTTGACATCATACTCTAGATCTCTAAGGAATTGAGTCACATCATTAAACATGTGCTTCATAATGTAGGTTTGTTCAATCTTGATTCCAATTTTGATGGGAGAATAGTATTGATAGTACATGTAGTACCATATTTAAGTTTAATTTATTTTTTATTTTTTATCATTTAGGACTTATCTGAATAAAATTTTCAATAAATATTTACAGAAAAAAAATAATAAAAATTAAGGAAATTTTTTTCTCCATATATAAGATAATAAGTTAAAAATAAGTTTTGAAAATATTATCATCAAATAATTTCTGCAAATTAATTTACATACAAACTAATTTTAAATTTTAAAAAATTTACGTTCTCTCTCTCTATATATATATATTATAAATGCTTACGAAATTTTTTATCTCAAAACAGGTAGTATATATCTCTATTGTGAGGGGTTTTAAAGGATATATTTAGTCTTCATTATGTTTAGATTCATTTCAGCACTTCTATGAAGTCGGATTGGTGTTTTTTTTGACTGGGTTAGGTGAGATTTTCCTTTTAAGCTCATGGGTGGTATATCTAGTAATCCTTTTAGGGTTTAAAAGTTATCTATTGCAGTAGTGTAGAGTAAAAAAATTATTATAGCTACCACTTTTAAGATAAGTTTGTGAAAGTCAATAAATTTGATATAAATAAGAGTTTGTGATTGAATAATTAATTATATTATAATGTTTTACATTGTTATTATATTTTTTTTTCTCATCTTTTTATGTTTGGTTAGGCACGCCTTATATTTTGACCTATACTTCATTATTTTTAATAAAAAAGTCTTTACTTATCTCAATAATATTATATGAAAATATTATCTTTTGAAAATATTCAATCAAAATATATAATATAATTATTATGTTTACCAAAATCAAGATATCAAAACTATTGGGCATTTTGACCATTATAAATAAATAAAAATTAAAATTTGTAAAATAAATTAAAAAAAACTAATTATATATCAAACTAATTTTTTTTGACACATAGGAGTGAGAGAGAGTGAAGAAAACGCAGGAAAGGTAACGACTTCAGGAGGTTACACTGTTCATGCAAGAATCATGTAGATTTCGCGTACGAAAATGTTTGAATGGAAGGCGTCACGCAAGGTGACATTTTCTACACTGTTCATGCTGCAAATTTTTCAGGGGAATCAGTTCAGTTTTTTCAGAGGAATCAGAATCTGGGCAAAAAAATGTTTGAATGGAAGGCGTCACACAGGGTGACGTTTTCTACACTGTTCATGCTAAAGGAATCAGTTTAGTTTTTTCAGAGGAATCAGTTCAGAGGAATCAGAATCTGTGTACATTTGAATGGAAGGCGTCACATAGGGTGACGTTTTCTGTAGAAAAGTGTAAAGAAAAAACGTCAGCAGAGAGTAGATGTCTTTAGTACAGAAAATGTAAGTGGAGGTGACATTTTCTGTATCACTTCTTCCCTACTCTGAGCTCGCTTCTTCCCTTTAAATAACATGTGAGAGTAGTGTTTTGAAACAAGAAAAGGAAGTAAGGGAAGAGAGAGAAGAGAGACAAGAGAAAGAAAAAGGAACTGCGGAGAGAAGGTGTGAAGGAGAAGTGAAGAGAAGGAGAAGGAGAAAGGAAGAGAAGAAAAGAGGTAATTTTTAAATTTTTGAAAGAATATATATGTTGTTATTTTCATGTATATTTTGTAATTTATAAGTTAAAAATTTGTACATGTGAAAAATATGTTGATGATTAAAATTGAGTATGTGTGAAAAAAATTTATGAAGTGTTAAAATTGAAATTTTTTAATGCACAATAACAATATTTCCCTTTCCTTTTTCATTGTCGTTCTGTAATGAACCTGGAATGAGCCGTTCTGAAATCAGAATGGGTCGTTCTGATCCTAGTCGTTGTGTGTTAATTTTGTAACTGAAACGCCTCGTTCCAGATGCAAATGTAATACACAACGAGTGAGTCAGAACGGGTCGTTCTGATTTCAAAACTGGTCGTTCTGGATTCAGTACGGGCCGTTCTAGAACGCCAACCAGAAATTGAAACTATTAGTTATGATAAGGGACCAAATTAGGTGTTTTACCATTTCTTTTTTGTGTTATAAAATTTAAATTATACGAAATTAAGTTTAATAATTTTTGTTTGTGTGATTTTAATAATATAATATTGATGAAGTAGTATAAGATTATTTTTTTTAGGATTTAATTGATTATTCGTTATTTAGGGATTTAGGGCATTTATTATTTAAATTTTATGTACGTATTTCTTGATTTTGTATAATTTCAGAATGCCTCGTAAAATAGTTAATTCGGGACCCATTGATGATTTTTTACTGACTATGCAATCAATTCACGTGTTTGAGCACATATGGAATGGTGAGGCTGATAAAGTTCTTCGTATTAGAAGAGCTACCAAAAGTGATCATAGAGATGGGTCAATTCCCGACGAATTAAGACTGTATCTTGCACGAGCAGGGATGCTGGGAGTGGCAGAAATCTCATACTTTCCTATTGACCACCAATTAATTTCAGCATTAGTTGAGAGATGGAGACCAGAAACACACACTTTTCATATGACATTTGGAGAGTGTACAATTGGAAGATGTTTCAGAGGTAACGAGGAGTCAAATTCAAACAAAAAACGTCAGTACCAGTGACATTTTGTGTTGTTTTTTGTTGATGAACAGAAAATGTCACTGGTACTGACATTTGTTGCTTTTTGTTGAGGAACAGAAAATGTCAGTACCAATGACATTTTCTGTGTGAATAGTATCAACACGTCACTCAGAGTAAAGTTTTCTACAAATCTTCACTTACTATGACGTTTTCTTCTTTCCTCCACATTTTACGTGTCCAAAATTATTTAGTTTAGTAAATAGTTTTTTTATTAATTTATTTTAAAAAAAATTATTTATCTTTTATTTATTATGGTTCTTCTGCCAAACTATTGACAGAGCATCCTTAAATTATTTTTTTTTACTTTTCATTTTTGGTTCTGATTCCTCCGACAGCTATTTGTGTCATTAATATATAAGAAGTTGATGTTAAATATTGTATTTTGAAGTTGACCTTAATTATAATAAGAAGTTGATGGTAGATGATAACGAATTTTATAAAGTTGATGTTAATAAGATGTCGACGTTAAATATTATTTTGAACAATATTGATTTCCCAATCGATTTGCATAATCAACTTGTATATCTTATGGTTGTTTAATCACTTATTTTAATTGCAAATAATTGCTAAAACTTGTTCAATTTTTCCACCAGCAACATTAGTCTAATCCAATGATTGCCATGGTTCCGGGCCGCCCTACGTAATCCGTGTCCAAATATCATATTTATAATCCCAACAAGACACCTCTTTATTCGTACAAACCATCCTTTGACATCGGATACCAAAGGCCTTAAGTTTTTTGTTGCCAATTTTGCTATATATATACCTCATTTGTAAGCGACCTTTTTCCATAAGGAACCTCTTGAAAGCGAATTACGATGTCACTTGCACCCTCCACACCTGTAGCTTCGACCCAACTTGCAGTACCTGACATCGCACGACCTTCTGTAGATTTTCCTCCAGGCATTTTATTGGAGGATGTTTTCCTTAAATATGATCCAGAATCATTGGTACTCTCCCTCCCTTCTTTTTTTTTTCTATATACAAAAATTAAGAAAATAATTAATATTTTAATTTTAAAAATATTTATTATTTATTTATTTTTATATCTTTTAAGTGATTAGAAAAGAAATAAATATATTAAAAATAAATAAACACATTATTTAATAAATACACATTAATTATCAAGAATAAAAATAAAAAAATTAATAAATTATTAATTTTAGGAAAGTAAAAATATAAATTAAAAAAAATAGTGTCAAAATGTTTATGAAAAAAAAAATAGAAGAAGTAGTACTCTTAATAATTTCGCATCAATAGTGTAAAATTCAATAATAAGTTATTGATATAATTTTTAAAAATTTGTTATTATAAATTTATAGAGTAATTTGTAATTAAATAATTATATAAAATTATTTTAAACTCTCATTATTATTGTCGATTTTCTCATATTTATGTTTGCATTGGTATTATGAGTTTGATTCAATTTTAATATGAACTATTATATTGTTTTAATCTTGAATCTATCTAAGTTTAGGGATTAAGGTTTAGGGTTTAGAATTATACTCTTGGTAAATGTGGGCCGGGGACCCACAAACTTAACAGGACATTAGAAAAATATTCTGGTAGAAATAACAAAAGGCACCTGCATGTATTCTTTATCATTTATTTTACATATTATTTTTTTTTACATGATATTGACAGAACTATCCTCCAGTTTTTTCGGAAACTAATTTTCTTTAAGGCTTTAACTGTATTAAAGTTATTTATTTTGAATGTCACCTTTTTATTTTAAACACTAATAAAAATTAATTTATTAATTGCTCTATAAATATTAACTGAATGCAACCACATGTGCAGGAAATTAGTGACGATGTGAAGCAGCAAGCTCAAATATTAAAAAAAGCGGTTGAAAAGATGTTTCAATCATCAATCAATCAAAGTATCACACAAAAACTAAATTTTATTGGCTTACTCCAATGTTTAGGTATATCCTATCATTTCCAACAAGAAATTAATCATACATTGAAACAAATTTATAACACTTTTACAAAAGAGAATATCATTGGTGAAGTTGGTGATCTTCACTCTCATGCTCTACTCTTCCGCTTGTTAAGGCAAAAAGGATATCAAATTTCATCCGGTACGTATAAGACTTTGTCATTCATGTTTAGATATAGAAAATTATACTATATATGTTAGCAAGGTTATATGTCAAAATTCAAAACTCATCAAATAACCATAATATATTATATATCTATTAATTGAGCAGGTATATTTAACAGATTCAAAAATGAGCAAGGAAACTTCAACGAAACACTTACTAGTGATATTCAAGGATTATGTAGCTTGTATGAAGCTTCACATCTAAGAACTCATGGAGATGATATAATGGAAGAAGCATGTGACTTCTCAAGTACTCAACTTAAGTCCTTGGCCAACCAACTTAGTGCATCTCTTGTTGCACAAATCAATCACTGCTTAAGGCAACCTATAAATAAGAGTGTACCTAGATTTGAGGCAAAGTATCATATAAGTATATATGAACAAGATTCTTCCTACAATGAATCTCTGTTAGCCTTTGCAAAAATAGATTTCAATATTCTTCAAAATTTGCATCTAAAAGAAATTTGCAACATTTCCAAGTAAGTCCCTTACTTTTAAATTGTTTTCCTAGTGACAACATTCATATCAAAATACACTTATACTAAAGATTTTAACTAATAAATATCGAAGTATATTTAAATTGTGAATGTGTAATTTTTTTTAGGTGGTGGAAAAACTCAAACTTTGAGAAAAAAGTTCCTTATGCTAGATATAGGTTACTAGAGAGCTATCTTTGGTCATTGGCCATGTCGGACAAACCTGAATACAACATTGGAAGAATGTTTGTGGGAAAATTGATTGGTGTAGTGTGTCTTCTAGATGATACTTATGACGCTTATGGCACTGTTCAAGAACTTGAACTTTTCACAGAAGCAATTCAAAGGTTGACAAATCATAGCTTATATTATGTACTCAATGGAAAAAAAAAACAATCATTTTTTTTATGTAGTAAATGAGCTTAAAAGGAAAAACAAAGTTGTTCGAAAATAATTATAAACTTTAAATTCTCATTTTAATAAAAAAAAACAACTTATTTTTTAAGAAAAAAGTTGTTTAAAAAACATAGTTTTTTTTTATGCAAACAACTTTTTTTTAAGAAAAGTTGAAATGGCATATTATAAAGTTTTCCAAACGTACTAAAGTTTTTTTCTTCAATAATTATTTTTTTTATTTATAATTTTTCAGATGGAATATTAAGCCCATAGAATCTCTTCCACATTGCATGCAAGAAGTATTTAATGCAATTGTAGAATTATGTGATGAAATAGAGTCGACGACAACTGAAAGTGGAAAATCAAGCTTTGTGGTGCCACATTTTAAACAAGCTGTATGATAATTTCAATTTCTATTTTATTACTTGAATACTTCTTTACAAAGATTCAATTTGTATTATCAATATATTCATTACTTTACTTGTAGGTTTTTAACCAAGTAAAAGGCTACATGGTTGAAGCAAAATGGTGCCATGAGGGTTACATTCCAACATATGATGAATATAAAATTAATGGAATTTTAACTTCTTGTTTCCCTCTTTTCATAACATCATTTGTTGGCCTCGGGGAATTTGCCACAGAAGATGTGCTCAATTGGATTTCTAGTGATCCAACGATCATTAAAGTTGTATCAGTTATTGGTAGAGTCTTGGATGATATGGCCTCACATAAGGTATTAATTCATCCTTTTATTGCAATTGGAGATTTGATTTGACAAATATATCTTTAGCCATAATTATTTATCAATCAAAGCAAAACACATATACAAATGCATATGTAGGAGGAATCTACTTACTCCAATAGTAAGTCTCTTGGTAGACTTGCTCTATTTAATAACTCATGTTTTACATCAAATTTTAACGAATCAATCATTAAATTAAAAATTCTTAATGTGTAGATTAAGTTTACAAAATTTTAAAAAGATTGAAAATCATATGACATTTTTCTTTATAAATTTAAATCAACATATAAAATGCTATTATTATTATCCATCAACTTGAATTAATAAAATAAAATATCAAATAATTTTTAATTTTTTTTAATTTGTAAACCTTATCTATGCATTATAAATTTTTAATTTAACGGTTAAATCGTTAAAATTTAGTGTAGAACATCAGTTATGAGTGAATTAAATCTACTAAGACATACTTTATATATATATATATATATATATATTATATAATTATTGATAATTATTACATTCCCAATTAAACTTTTTATTTTTTTTATTAATAGTTTGAGCAACAAAGGGTGCATGTTGCCTCAGCAGTTGAATGTTGCATGAAACAATATGGTATTTCACAAGCAGAAGCCTATTGCTTTATTCACAATGATGTTGAGGAATGTTGGAAGATTATAAATGAAGAGTGTATCAAGTTAAATGATATTCCAAAGTCTGTGATTGAGTGTATAGTTAATTTGGCACGCATGTCTGAAGTTTCATATGAAAATCATCAAGATAAATACACAAATAGTGAATTGTTAAAAGATTACATCTATTCACTATTTCTGGATCCCATGCACGTGCCGCAACCAACACCAGCAGGAGAAGATATTTAATGTATAAGTGAGTAACATAGTTTATTTTAACTTTGAAAAGATGTACTACCATATAGTGCTATGTAAAAGCAACCATAAATAAACATGAAGATGAGTGAATTGTTCGTATAAAAGTCAATTTGTCTTGCTTAAAATGTTGAATGTGCAAGGTCTGACAAATGTTGTTGATTGTAGTAGTGTTAATGTGAAGTCATGTGCTTAATTATCAATGTAATAATTAATGTTTACGAAGTTTAATTTGTACTTGTTTGTTCATTTTTTATCGATATGCCTTTTGTTGTTCACTATTTCCTTTTATTCATTTGCACTCGTACTTGTTTGAAATAAGTTTTTATCCATATGTTATTTGTTTTTCAACTTTTTCTTTTTTTCATTTGCAGCAAGCTGGGTATCCTTATATTATTGAAATAAGTTTTGCTTTTGTTTCTTTTTTACAAAATATTGAAAGAAAATCTAAGTCTCACATTGATTAGAGATAAAATAATTAAAGAATTTTTAAGTGGAAGACAACTTTCACTTTACAATTCGATTTTGTAAGTTCAGTTAAATTCTTAATTTACTTTCTTTAGATGGTACCAAATCTATCTAAATCTATTCTAAAAAGATCACTCATCATTGATACACACACTAAGTGAATAGTGTTGAGCATGAGCAAATATATTAGAAAAAAAATCAAATTTCACATCGAATAAAGATAAGACGATTAAAAAGTGTTCAAATGATAAAAAATTGAATGTTAATAACTTATAAGCCACCAAATCTTTCTCCTAGGCCTAGCTTGGCGGTGCCAAAACCACAAGTTACGCCACACACATGAATTGCAAGTTTGAAACCTTTCAACACAAGGCATGGTAGTGGGCAAGTCGGATACAAGTTTTATAATACTCGTCCTTGTTTTCGCGATTCAAACCCATCCTTGTCCTCGTACCTGTTGGGTATGTAATTTTCGTCTCATCCCCGTCCCCATCGAGTATCGAGTATACCTATATCCGTAACCGTACCCATAAAAAATTAATTAATTTTTTTTTGCAAAAATACACAATATTTTTAGCTTATCTTTTCATATTACAATTTTAATTGAGTTGTTCATCTATATCATATTTTAATCAAGAGACTTTTTAATAATTAAACAACCAGAAATGTTTCACATCATAATAAACAATCACACATAATTGAATATTAAAATTCTTTAAAATAATCAAAATGGGGACGAGTATTAAACCAAAGATGGGGACGGGAACAAGGATGGGGCAGGTAAGTATATACCCATCCCTGTCTCCGTCCTTGTCCCTGGTTTAATATTTCAGGTTTTACTTGTACCCGATCAAATTGCGTATTCCTTGTCAAAATTAAGACGGGTTCGAGTATTACCCACGGATACAGGTTTATTTGTCATCCCTATTCAACACCATACAACCTATAACACCTTCTTTCTCAACCACATATGATTGTCATCAACTAGCATCACATTCTTCGCAATTGCAACTAAACCCAATGAAAGCGTTCGACCTAAGGGAAAATAAGAGACAATGAAGGTGATTATTACCGGTTTAAACAAAGTTTGAGGTGTTTTTCCTAGTGTTCAAACTAGGTCTTACATTTCTTTTATGTATAAATTCATTATATTTAAATACAGGTCTAAACGATTATCATCATCATCATCATCATCATCATCATCATCATCATCATCATCATCATTATCATGTTAGAACTTGCCGGACAAGGAATTTTGCGACCTTAGGACTGTTATAGTTACAACTGCCATTCACCAGGGCTTCGATCTTCGGCTCCCCTATCATCAAGTCACCAACTTCCTTGACCTTCCGGCAATGGGCAGGCGTCAACCCCCATACATGGTCTTACGACTTTGTGGAGACCTGTGTTTTTGGTAAACAGTCACTTGGGCCTGGTCACTACAACCCCCTTTGTGAGGAGGCACCCCTTCTCCCGAAGTTACGGGACTATTTTGCCAAGTTCCTTAGAGAGAGTTGTCTCGCGCCCCTAGGCCCCTAGGTATTCTCTACCTACCCACCTGTGTCGGTTTCGGATACAAGTACCCATTTGTTGAAGGTCGTTCGAGCTTTTCCTAGGAGTATGGCATGATTTACTTCAACGCTATAGTGCCTAGTACTCGAACTTTGGCTCGAGGCATTTTCTCTACCCTTTATTAACCTCAAAAGAAGGGGCACCTTGCATTCTTGAACCGATAACCATCTTTTGGCTAACCTAGCCTCCTTCTTCCCTCGAGACTAACAAAGGGTAGTACAGGAATATTCACCTGTTGTCCATCTACTACGCCTTTTGGCCTGATCTTAGGCCCTGACTCACCCTTCATGGAAAAACCTTACGGAGGAACCCTTGGGTTATCGAGGCATTAGATTCTCACCAACTTTTGCATTACTCAAGCTGACATTCTCGCTTCTACTTCGTCCACCACTACTCGCACAGGTCCTTCCCTCTAAGGCGAATCCATGGAAGGCCACCACTGACTAGCCTTTTTATACCAATCTTGCACCCTTAAAAACTTTTTGTGAAAATCTTTTCATGACCCAATCTTTGTGAAAATCTTTTGAAACTCTTTTTGAAAACCTTTCTCAACAAAGATGAGTGATCATTCAAGTGTGCGTGGGCAAAACTCATATAGTAGTCATCCTAGTGTTAGGGAAGAACTTAGGGAATTAAAAGAGTACCTAAGAAAAAAAGAAGAGGAAAACATAAAAAGAGGGGAAAAAATTAGAAAGAGGGAAAAAGAAAATGCAAAGAATAATGAAGAAATAAGATAATTACTTGCAAAATTAATTGAGGGGAGAGAAACTAGTGGATCCAAACCTAGGGTTGTTCCAACTAGGTCTCAAATAGCCAAAGGGGTTAGAATCCCTAAGAGTATGCATGAGGAAGAAAATACAAAAAGAGAGGAAGAACTTAGAAGAGATGAAAAAGAAAAGAAAATACAAATAAAGAAAGAAAAAAAGAAGAAAAGTATAGAGAGAGTTGAAGAGTGGTTAGAAAAAGAAAAACAACAAATAATACTCTTAGAGAAGAGTAAGGAGGATAATATTTCTTCCAAAGGGCTTATGCTTAAAGAAAGTTACTTTACCATTGAAAATGATTTAAAAAAGACTCTCTTTATTCACAAGACCTTAACTCTTTCTCTCATGTTACCACTAGTCATGAAGTGGAGATTCAAAAACAAATCCCTTTTCAAGAAAAAAAATCTCAACTTCAAGAATTAGTGAAGAAGAATTGGACTTCACTTGGTCCCACTTCTTGTTTAGGTAATTTCTTAGTTAAGTTTTCTTTATTTTCCAAGACATACCTAGGTCACTACATTGGGTACCTCCAACAAGATATTTTAGTTCTTAGGACTAATGCTTTAGTGTGCTATAGTTTTAGTCTTTTTACCTTTTTAGGCTTTAGTTATACACCTAGACTTCATCATGAGGAGGATCCTATCTTAGCATTAGAGAGTATAGTCCTTTTAGTTTAGAAAATCTTTTTAGCATTTTTAGTAGAACTCCTCTTAGGATGCATTTTCCATTTATATCATATACTATTGCCTCTAATGCTTATTTTTATGTTTTTCTTGGTCATGACGTCCACCATGAAGAACCTCTTGATTTGAGGTCAAATCCTTTTCAAGAGAGAGGGAATGATGGAATCACACTAAGACCAAGAAAACCAAGAGGTGATATATTGAAGGAGGCAAGAGGAACGAGTTAGTTTTGAAAATCATAAGAGGAGTGGGCCTACTTTTGGGCCTTAGCTCCTATGTTTTTTTTATTAGTATAAGATTTATTCCTATTTTACCCTTGTCTTTAATTTCCGTTTTGCTGAATAAGAGTGTAATTCTTTCGTTTGCATCGGTCTCCTGCGAAGTGTTTAAAAATTTGTGTGTCGTTACTTTTGTCTATATTTCTCTCTATCTTTAATACTATTTCTTTTCATAATAAATAAAAGATGAGAGAAATTACAAAAGTGATGTTATACAAATATTGAAAAGTTTATGTTATATATATATAACATTATTCTCTTCTCTTTTTCTTTTTTCTTTTTTCTGTATGATATGAAGATCCAACAAAAGCACGATGGATGTTCTGAGACTCTGATCCATCAATACATTTTTTTATCCATACATTTTTTTATCCATATTGGATACGTATCCAATATGAATACATCCAAAGATTCAAGATATATATATGTGTCCCAAGAGTACTCATAATAATTTTATTTAAATTAAATAAATCAAATTTCCAATACTATGCGATGTACATATATTTCTGCTACAAATTATAAGAATGGCATATACGTTTAACCTCATACAGTACTCTCTTGTATAAGATTAACTAATAGTTAAAAAAAAAATGAAGATAAAACATATTTAATCATAAAATAATATATTTATTTTTATAATCACTAATTTATTATAAAAAATATTTTCTAAATGAATTAATTAGAATTATCGAAGTACTGTTGCTTCTCTTTTGCAGCTTCTAGACTTGTATACTGTGAAGTTGAAGTCATAGGGTAATTTACCACCTATTTTCTGGAACATGCTAAATGTGAGATGAAGGAATCAAAACTCAGAAGTACTATACAAAGCTAATGGGGTTGAGTAGTGATTTATCACTACACCAAAATTAATTTTTTGTGGCAATTAATTTATTATTTAACGGTTATATAAATGATCATTATTTTTTTACCAGCATTTAAATTAAGGCTAGTGTATCCAGTGTCGCTAATACTATTACCGACATTTATATAAAATGTTGGTAAAGATCTACTAAATTGTCGAAAAAACTTATTTTTTTTAGTGGCAATTCTAGTAGCCATTTTAAATTCTATCAGGGAGAGCTAATGCTTGTTGGGTAGTTTAGTTTGACACTACTTCACACCCAAAAAGAAGTGATTTATGTCTGAGTCAAATTTTGAGATAGAAGTCTTCTTTCATTGCTCGATGGTGAAATAAGACTAAACTCATGAGCGTATTATCCTAGGTTGGAACAAGTTGATAGGAGCTCCTTTTTTCACCCCCCATGTCGCCACATGGGGGGTGAAAAAAGGAAAGAGAGGGGTATGGTTTCTCTTGCTTTTAACATAGCGAGCCCCGGTGGGAGGCCCACATGACGGGCTATTAGCTCAGTGGTAGAGCGCGCCCCTTATAATTGTGTTGTTGTGCCTAGACTATGAGGACTCTCAGCCACATGGATAGTTCAATGTGCTCATTAGCGCCTAACCCTGAGATGTGGATCATCCAAGGCACAT